AATCAGCCAAATAATAGTTGGAGATATGGAGGAGAATATGCTGGAAAAAGCCAAAACAAAATATGCTGCGAATCAGCCAAACAATAGTTAGAGGTATGGAGAATACGCTGGAAAACAGCTAAAATAAAATATGCTGCCAATCAGCCAAAATAATAGATAAAACAATAGATATGGGGTGAAGAAGAATATGTTGGAAGATATTCCAACAAATGAAGTGAGATGAATGTGAAATGATTCTGTTAAAATGAAAAGGGCAATTGATGCTACGTTTAAGAAAATTAGATGTAAGTCAATAGGGTTTAAGATTTAAAAATTTGATGAAATGGATCCAGGAGTATAGATAGAAATTTGATTTATAAATGGAAATAAAAATAGAGTTGTGTTTGAAATTTACAGAAAATGAAATGAGGAAAGAGGAAATTTATGGAAAATTAAACATTAATTGGTTCGAAAGAATTCAAATGAATAAATGGAATAGGAAATGTAAAGAAAGGAATGATGAGAGTAGAAAGGAAACGGAATTTGAAAATTTGACATCTCGAATAATAAAAGATGAAATTGGGCCAAAGGGATTAGTTAGCAAAATTTATAAAATTACTAACTTTGATAATAATTCACAAATGGTAATGAAAGAGAATTGGGTAAAAGAACTGGGTATTGAAATTTCTAATCAAAATTGGAATATGAACTGGGTTAGCAGAATAATGAGGACATTATCAATAAGGATTAAAGAACATAATTATGAAGTTATTTGGAAGTGGTATTTGACCCCAATAAGACTTTTTCAAATGGATAATAAAGTGGATAAAATGTGCTGGAGATGTAAAATGGAACTTGGGACATATGTTCATATGTGGTGTAAATGTAATGGGGTTGAACTTTTTTGGTCTAGGATAGAAAATGAAATATTTGAAATGATTAAGAACAGGGTCAAATTGAAATCGGAAACCATATTATTATTAATATTGAATGAAGCAACATTAACAATTGGAGAAAGAGAATTGGTGAGGATTTTGGTTATAATGGGGAGAATTATAATTGCTAGATATTGGAAATTAAATGTTGACTTAAAATTAGAAGAATGGTATAATGAAACATGGAAATTTGTATTAAATGATAAATTGACTTGTGATATTAAAATTAGAAGTGGTATATATAAAGAGAATGTTTTTTGGAACACTTGGCAACCATTTGTGGACTATGCACTTGGGATATTGGATGAATAGGCGCCAGTACCTTATCAAAGAGATTTCTGGAAGAATTGAAGACTTTAATTTCCTAAAACTTCCTTTCCATTTGTATAGCACGCTTGGGGGGGGGGGATTTTTTTTTCTTTATTATTGATTTTTGTATTGTTTTTTTTTTCCTTTTTTCTGTTATTCTTTAACAATAAAAAAAAATAGAGTTGTGTTTATTTGAAAATTAAGATTTGAGAGACTTCCGGTTGGCGCCGCGGGGATCCAGACGGGAAATAGTGGGCTCTTTGGAGCCCCATGAAAACCCTGTCAGCTAAAGCCCCCGCCAGCAGGTCTTCGGACCTCCCCTGTCCTGTAGGGACAGGGGACATGGAGAGGGACCCCTCGGTCAGCCGAGAGGAATGAGCAGGTTCCTCGGGGCCGGAGGCTTGCCTTCTGCGCTGGCGGTGGCAAAGCAGCAGCCATGGCGGCTGCCCTGAAACCGCAGCAACTGGGACACAAGAATGCGCAGAAGGAGAGGAGGAGAAGCGGAGAACAGAGCCGGGAGTTTGTTTGCCGGGTGAGCGACCATCAGCCCAGGCAGGAACTGCCCATGGACTCTGGATTAAGATGAGTCTTTGCCCCAGCCTTAACAGCGGCTGTGAACTATTGAGGCATAAAGGCAAAAGACCTGTTGGAGAACAACGTGAAAGAATGATTTTTTGGAAATGGCTGCATTACAGTGTTGGATATGGGTTTTTTTTCTTTATATGGAAAAATGAGATTGGACTATGTTAGAGAGAGAGGAAGGAGAAGAGGAAATAACTATGCTTTTAAAAATAAAGGAAAAAAAGAAGACAAATGGAGACAGAGAAAATGGCTGCTAATTGGCAAGTGAAAGTGTGAACTTCAGATTGACCTCTTGTTACTGATTTACAGACTGCCTACTTGTTACATAAAGGGAGAAACTTTGTTACTTGTTTCTTTAAACTTGACTAATGGTGGGGGGGGGAGAGGGAGAAAGACTCAGATTAAGAGAGCCTGATTCTGGATAGACAAATTTGTTTATTGGAGGATTTATTGAAGATCAGAAGGAAGAAATTAAATGGAACAATGGAAACTGAACTAACAGATGTGGCAATAAGAGAAGGGTGTGGCAGCACAAGAAGGACATGATGATACCATATATGGAATAGCTAATTTAAAAAAAGAACTAATTTAAAAAAAAAAGTTGGAACTTTGATGGCATTAAAATGGAGAAGAAATATATTTGGACAGATTGGAGAAAGGAATATTGGAACATACTATGTAACAAGACAGCAAATTATTATATTTTGATTTAAATAGATATAATAGTTTTTGGGTGAATGAACAGAGTTAGGAGACATTTCTTTTTTTTTTTCTTATTATACCATCTCTCTCTATTTCCCTTTTCTATTTTTTTTTGTTTTTATTTGTTTTTATTTTTCCTCTTTAAACTTTTTTTTAAATCTACTTTGGTTTTTTTTCTTTCTTTTTTCCTTTGTTTTGATATATTTCTACCCTCTTCCCTTTTCTTTTTTTCTTTTTTACTATTATTATTATTATTGTTGTATTATTATTGTCACTATTTTAAGGTAATTACATTATTATTGTCACTATTTCCCGTTTTCTATAATTATTATTACTTTTATATAAACATATAAATAACTTGATTAAGAAATGTTTGAAGGAAGAATCATGAGTTTTGGATGTTCTAATGCCTTTTTGAATTTTAAATCTTTAACAAGTAATATTTATAGATTTAATAATCTAGAAGAAAATGTTTTTTCCTTTAAGGTCTTGGATGTTAAAAGAATTATCATAGATTTAATAAGCATAGAAAAATGAATTTAAAATGGTTAAAATGATGTTTGTATTGAAATATGAAATAAGCAAGTAACAGGAGAAAATTTAGGAGAAAATAAGAGATAAGATATTTGTTGAAATGTTTTTTTTTTTTAAATTAGCAAAAGATACGGAGGAGAATAGATTGAAAATACCATTGGTGATACACTTTGAAGTAATTTGAAGCTAAATAATTGAATAAGAGATTTTGGAGTGGAGGAAAATATAAGCAAGATTCTGGTGATCAGAGAAAGAAAAGCTGAGACCCAGTCTTACAAATAGGGTAGGAGTGGAGGAAAGCATCATACTGGAGAACAGTTAATGCAAACTGGGAACCAGTTAAAAATAAAAATAGGAGTTAGGAGCGGAGGAAATATGCACTGGAAAGCAGTTAAAGCAAAGCTGTGAACCGGCCAAAATACAGTTAGGAATGGAGGAAAGCATACGCTGGCTAACTGTTAAAGCAAAACTGTAAACTAGCAAAAAATAAAAAGATAGGCATGGAGGAGACTATACCTGGGGATCAATTGAAATAAAGTTGTGAACCAGTTAAAAATAGGGGTAGGAGTGGAGGAAAGCATTGCTGGAAGGCAACCATCTGAGTTGTGAACCAGTTTTACATTAGATTTAGGAGGAGTAAAGGAGAAGGTTGGTATGCAGTTAAAATTATACTGGGAACCAGCCAAGATAATTAAGGTAAGGAGTGGAGGAAGTATTGCTGGAAAGCAGCTGATTAAGATGCGAACCAGCTCAAAAATAAACCTAGGAGGAAGTGGAAGAGACATTATTGGAGAATAGTAATTGAACTGTGAAACAGTTAAATAAATGGAGAAAGGAATATTGGAAATTATAACTAGGAAATAGATATTTAAGCCATGAATCCGTTAAACAGCTGGTCTAATAGAATTTGAGAATAAATTTGAAGTATTAAGGTAAAATATTTTGGAAGTAATAAAATATAGAAAGAAATGTTGATTTATTTCAAAATGATTTTAAGAGAGGAGGAAAATATTTTTTGTCAAGAATTGGATATCTGTTGTCATTTAAGAGAGATAAAATATAATTTTGAGACAATGGGTTTTAGGATTGAGGAATATATATGAAATATTAATTGTCAAAATGATAAAGATTTAGAAAGGTGTTTATTGTTTAGAATTTTGGGTGTTATAGTAGAATGATAAATGTTTAGAATAAGAATTTTGTCTTTTTTTATTGTTCTTTTTTTTTCTTCTTAAAGATTTTAAAATTTGGAACAAAATTGATTGAGGGAATGTGACTAATTGTACTTATTTTAAGCCGGACCAAACCCCTGCTCTAAAAAGATGTATTTTATGTTTAATGCTAAAAAAAATAAAAATAAAAAATTGGGGAAAAAAAAAAGATTTGTGGTGATAAAATAATAAGGTAAATACTTAGATTAAGATGTTAGAATATTTGTTAAAAATTTGTGTTTTGATTTTTATGTTAAAAGATGTAATGGAGGAAATTCGGGAAAGAGTTGTTAAAGAGTTTTAAGCGAATGTACCAATTCATGACCGGATCAAGACTCCGTTCTTAAAAGATGTATTTTATGTTTATTGTTTTTTTTTAAAAATAAAAATATATTTTTCAAAAAAAAAAAAAAAAAACCAAATAAGCTAACAGTTGCTATGAGCTATGTTTAAACTAAATAAAAAAATGTTTCTGCTATAGCCAACTTTTTTTTAAAGTCACTTCACTTTGTCTCAAGGTTATTTCAAATAAATGTAAGATACAAGCACCTAATATAATGACAATAATAATTTTTCTTTGGAGAATGAGAAGCTTTTAATTAGTTCCTTTTACATACATGGAATTGTACGTATTATTTTTTTAGTAGTATAGAATAGTAGTTTAGCATATTGTTATTCTTCTGCTAAATAGCTTTTAATTATTAGGGAGAATATAATGAAAAATTATACTGCACTTTGTTAACATTACCTGGTTTAATGACAGCATTAGGCGACACTCGAAATATTGAAGTTTTCTGTTTTGGTGGGAGCCCTAGTTCTCTGTACATTTTCATGATAGAAGAACTTCTCTGGAAAAAAACAGAAAACTTCAGTAAGCATAGAAAAAAATGGAATTTAGATAATATGCAACCCCTTTAAACAATAAAACTAGAATTTAACTTTTTATTGCTCTCACAAATGTCAGCAAACAGAATGACACAGAATGACAGAGAGCATCATTGATTGTAATTGTATAATAGTCTGTATTTTTAAAAAGTGCCAATGCTCTAAATAAAAGTTAATACTCAATTAAAAAGCACAGTACAATAATCTTAATTCTTTTATTAAAACTTTAAATGTAAAATGTTTGAGTTACTGTATTAGTTATTCTATCTGTGCTAGTAAAAGCTGAATGCCGTGAGAGCCCATCTATATCTACAATAAGGTGTTCATTAGAATGTATTTTCATGGAATTGAACAAATTATAAACCTATGACAGAATAGGATTCAAATATAATAAATATTAAATAAATAAGTATTAATAATAAGAAGTATTCCTGGGGTATGCTATGAATTAAAAGCACACTGATACATATAGGTCTCATGTTCTCGCTTCATACTTTGCAAGGAAGCAGCACTTGTGGGAGCAGAAAGGAAAAGGATGCTCTCAAATAGTCACTTCAGAATAAAGCTGGCTTATCCAATATTAAAAACAATACCACAATAGAATCTTGTCACCCTGAGATCATATAGCTCAAAAGATAACAAGCAAGTAACAACACAATCATGTGTATTAAACAGAACACATAAATGAAGCAAAAATGTTATTCCTTTCAGTTCTATTTTATTGGAATCAATATTACCTTTATAAAAATTTCAATAATAAATATGTAGAGCAAGGACAAACACTTATTAGAGGTATATAAAATGAATAAAATGTCATTTTTGTGCAATAATTAAAGGTGCTCTTTTTTACTCATTATTCTACTTCTAGATATGTTCTCACTTGGAATCTGCATGTATGCATCTTTTTTACAAAGAGGCATATGTAATATATACTTTTTTCTCTATATCACACTTTTTATCACGAGGTTTTCAGCAGTTTTTTTGAAAAAAATAAGTCACCTGGCTTAGTAACATAGATAAATCTTAACTACAGCATAAAAGGAAAGAGCATTATTTCAAAAAGGGTGGCATATTCCAGACGACAGGTACTACAATAGAGAAGGCACACTTCCTGGATCACATAAAGTATACAGAAACCCATTAAAAATTGTATTGTCACATATCTCATCAAAGCCAGCTGCCCTGATGTTAGGGCTTCTAATTGCTATCTTTACTTCTTCAATTGTAATTTCACCAGTTTCACCATCTCTTGTTGGGAACACTCTTCATTAAAATTGTATATAGCAGGTGGATTTGACTGGTTAAGAGTTTCCTGGTAGTGTTCAAACCATCTTTTATTCAGCTCATCTTCAGTAATCAGAAGCACATTAACTCTGCCATTGCCAAGCCCAAGTGCAAATGAGAAAGAACGAGGGTTAGGCATCAGGCTACCAACCCATCCCTGTAAAAATTATAACCACTATAGAAACAGCAAAAAGAATGTCAAGAAAATTTCAATCAGGCAAGAGTTCTGTGTGTGTGGAGAGAGGGAAAGGGAGAGGGAGAGGGAGAGGGAGAGAGAGAGAGAGGGAGGGAGGGGAGAGGGAGAGAGAGAGAGAAAGAAACAGGGAATGCAATTTTTATTGTAGTGCCTGCCCTCTGGAACAAAACCTTTCTATAATTTTTTTCAGGCCCCACCTAATTTTCCTTTTTTACATGAACCATTAAAACCTGACTCTTTTTACAGACCTTGTGGTATACTGGATTATGGCTACCTTATGGGCTCATTTGTAAAATGATAGCAGTTTACTCTGCATATTTATTTATTTATTTCATTTTATTGCAATTTATATGCCGCCCTTCTCCCGAAGGACTCAGGGCGGCTTACAAGATAAAAATTCAACAATATGAATTAAATATAAATTAAAATCCAATTAAAATTAATTAAAATTATTACAATGTAAAAACCCCCCTCAACAGGTCAGTCCATTTGATGAAAAAGCCACGTCTTCAGTTCGCAGCAGAAGGAGAGGAGGTCGGGGGCTGTCCTAAGCCCGGTGGGCAAACCGTTCCAGAGGGTCGGCGCTCCCACAGAGAACGCTCTCCCCCTGGGGGCCGCCAGCCGACATTGTCTGACTGACGGCACCCTGAGGAGGCCCACTCTGTGAGAGCGCACAGGACGATGGGAGGATGGCAGAAGATGGTCCTGCAAGTACCCTGGGCCTAAGCCATGTAGGGCTTTATAGGTGAGCACCAGCACCTTGAAACGAACCCAGAGGACCACCGGCAGCCAGTGCTTTGGTATAATATTGCTTTGGTATAATATTATGAAGATTATTTTATTATATTTTTTAATACAATATGCTACCCAAAGTTGAAATGGAGTTGTATCTTCAAATATTTAAAGGTTTGACACTCCTATGAAATTAGGGAAGTTTTGGAGAAAAAGTGATCCGGGTCAATCAATAGGATCTGAAAATGTTCTAGCCTCTATGTTAAAGAATAGTTTATTTCTCTGTGCAATCTGTGTATATGATATAGTAGTACACTATAGCTGCAACATACCTTGTATTAATATGCACTTTATGCAGTACTGAAATATATACAGTTTAATTATATATTCAAAATTGCTACCCAACTAAAATTCCACTAACTCCTAAAATCCAGGTGCTGGATAAGTGATAATATTTTTTTTTTTACAAAATAAAGTATGAGATATAAGTTCAGGACAATATTGTAATGGCAGTCTTAGAAGACAGACTCTAAAGTCAGGAATTTTAGCCTAAATTCACAAGAAGAAAATCAACTTTAACGACTTCTGCTTAAGTTAATAGCCAATATATAGAAGAACATAATAATTTATCAACATTTCATTGTGGAACCATTCAAAAGCTCCTCTGAGCTTCTTTTTTATTATAGTAACTAAATGAATGATCAATGAATGAAAACTGAAAATGGAAGAAATCAACATAGCGGAATTTTGTGGTTAAATGGATTGTTCCAAAAAGCAATTTACATGACTGACAGCAGTAGCACACTTGGATAATCACCATCCAACCAATGGCTGTCAGATTTCCTTGTAAAAATGCCTGATTTTTCAGATTAATTTTGAAGATAGATTGCATTGCCAGAAAATCTATAAATTATTAATCCTCTATAATCCTGCACAGGATCTTGTGATCCTGTCTCACAAGATCATTTTGGAAATCAAAGCTAAAATAATTTAAATAATTTTCTCAGAAAATTTTCTGACATTAAGAGTATCCATACTTTTGATTAAACTTCACTGTAATCAAGACTTATTTCTGGCCTAATATATTGGCAAATCAAGTCATTGTGATCTGTAAATTTGGAATAGCATGATTTAATCCAGGAAAATATATGCAAGAGATTATTAGGTCAAAGAATGATTAAAAGTACAAATTGGCCAGCTAGCCTCATAATTCTGTTCTTCCATAATTTCCTTTCATACTTTTTTCTGTCTCTTTCTCTAAAAAAACCCTTTAATTCCATATATTTGTTTGATGTAAAATGCGCAGATGGGGTATTTCAGATTCCTGTCAGAAAACAAAATGTACACTACTTCACGCCATTTGAAAATTGATTCTATTTAATGCACAATTAAAGTAATATATAAAAACATCAATGTAAAAATAGTGTAAAATCAGATATTAGGTCGGTGATAATATACTAAAGAAGCACTGAAATATTGGTTGTAGAATGGAAATCAGAAGTGTTTTTCTAACTCATTGGCAATATACCAATTATATTTTATTCTAATTTGTTCTCAAAAACATATTTCTTTTAGTATATGAAGGGAGGTTACCAATCTCTGCTTCACTAAATGATAGGTGGAATTACAGACATTTGTTTCATTGTTATAAACTGTGTTAACCAATTAAATTTAAAAAAGCAGGAGAATATTGGTACACAAAGGAACGCCTTGGAGTTCACACCTACACACAGTTCGATGTAGGCCATGGTCAAATTTTGTGTTTCAACAAATCCCTAAATAAACATAAACTGTAGGTAATTCTCAATTTATAAACTGTCGCTTAGTAGGTATAATGGACCTATCTGGGGATACTTATGAACCAGATTCAAAGTTCTGCAGTCACTTGACTAACCTTTGGGTGCTCCGCAGTTGACATTTATAGCCATTTGAGCATCCTGTGGTTACATGATTGTGTTTTACAATGGTTTTCCTAGCATTTACTTCTGGTTTTTGACAGAATTGGTCCACAGAAAAAAATAATTTGCTTAACAATGAAAGCATTTACATAATCACAGCTACAAAAAGGATCATGAAATTAGATTGGTCATGTGGACGACCCAATTTAGAATCATGATATGCAGTCTTCATTATGGTCATAACTTGAGAACTATCTATATATGGTACAAAATACGATACAGGAGGTAGGAAGAATGATTTCAATTAAATATCAATATACCCTAAAAGTTAATATCCTCTAGTCAGATAAGAAACCACACACAGACAAATTGTGGTTGACCGTTTCACCAAAGCAGCAAGCTAAAAAAGCTCCAAATCGATCATGAAGTACATGTATGTAGCTCTTAATGATAGTCACTGGGATTGTAAAATGCAATGTCATGTGATCCTGCTAACTTACAACAAACAGCTGAGGCAATCCCAGTTGCCTTTTAGGCAAATTCTGTACTACTGTAGTCACATAATCACCATTTGTGACTGCCTACCACCTTTCCCATTGCCTTTGCCATTTGTGTCCTTTACTGCTAGCTTCTAACAAGCGATCACATGACTGTGGGATTCTGTGATCATTATAATTAAACTAGCTGTCAAGCACCCAAAGCATGATCAAGTGACAAGGGCTACTATGGCTGCAACCACAAAGATCCATCATCAATGTTCAGTGTTATAGTAACATTGAATGGTCCCTAGATGAGTGGTTGTTCAATGAGGACTAGCTATAAAAGTAAAAATTTGGAATGGACTTCACATTCTCCAGATTTGAGTATTACTGAAAATCTGGAGATCTCAAGCATGCATTACATGTATGTTTTCTGAGCTAGAAGTGGTCTATAAAAAAGGATGGGTAATAATCGATAAGAATGAATAAAAATATTAGTAGCTGGTTATAGGAAACAACTATACAGTTATTTCTGAGATGTGAAAACACTAATTGCAAGCTGTCCAAACTTTTGTCTTGTTTTTGTCATGTTTTCTTATTTTGAATTTATAGAAAACTGCACATAAACAATAATTACACACTCGCAATTACAGAAAGATGTTTAATTTTGTACCATGTAGGAGTTGTGTTAGCTTCTTTTCACTTAGCAAATAACTGAAGCAGACATTTTGACGACTATCTATAGCACACAATTATATATGCATGTAAAAAGACTGTAAAATGAATGACTAAAACTTTCCTGCATAGCCCAATATGGCATCATTTATGAATTATAGTTTATACTATGTTTAATCATTAGTCAAAATAAACAAAACACTAAAGGCACTAGAACACAAAAGCAAACATCTTAGCTTCATAAATGTTCCGTGAAAAAATGTATTGGTATAAGATCATCTTCAAGAAATTATGACAAAACCAGAAAGTTTCCTTAAAAAAGACCAAAAAAAGACAGTCTTTTAAATTATTAAGACATCTTCTTTCTAAAAAGCATTCCTTTGGATAATGCAATAAAAATTGTTGTCCCACTCCAAAAAGAAAAATAAATCAGACTTACATGGAATTCAGACACATTTTTCCCTCCAACAGTTAGACTGGGAGTTTTCCCATCAAATTCTTCTTTGGGTGTGTATTTAATAACATGGCAGTCTTGAACCTACAAAAAATTATTCAGGTTTATCACATATTAGTTGAGGAAAAAGACAATTAGCTTTAGTTCTAAACTTTCAAACTGTTTTTGGCTTCAACAATCTATTTTACATCTAATTCTAGATAATAAGATGTGAGATTCTATTCTGGTATGTTTATGTGTGCACAACTTTATTTAGTTATATGACTGTTATATTAAATGCATAACTTTGGACAGCAAACAATTGTAAAATCAACATAAAAACTCTTCAGTCAATTAAAATAATCCAATAAAAAGAAATAAAGAAAACTGAGGCACTATACAGCGTTTCCAGGAAAACAGATACACATTTATTATTTATTTATTTATATTCCAGCTTTATTATCTTTGCAAATAACTGAAGGTGGCAAACATATCCAACAGACTTCCTCCTTCTATTTTACCCACAACAACAACCCTGTTGGGCTAAGACTGGCCTGATCACCCAAAGGCTAGAGCAGGACTTGAGCTGATGATCTCCTGCTATCTAGCCTAGTCCCTTAACCACTAGACCAAATGCCTGAGAGGAAAATCAGGCTTTAATAGCCTTCTGGAAGACAAAGATGGCCTATTATTAGATTCTACAACCTTAGGTTTTGTAACTCTCTTTGCAAACTAGAATCTGAAAGAATTAATGTTGGGGGAATGCTTGGTTTGTTTAAAAACAGTATAATATAAATCCCACTTCAGAGATGACGTTGATTGTTTTCTTTTTGGAAAATTCATGAACATGGTAGTGCTTCTAAGATGTAGACCAAGTTGGAATTATGAGGCAGCATACACTAGCACACTGTGAACAAACATCACCAGCATTTCAGCTTTGAAACAAATCCAGCCACGCCCTACTCTAAAAATCCTGCTTTATCTGGGTGGGTAAGAATTATTACACTATTATCATTTTATTGATTGTACTTTTATTTTATTTTTTTTGTAAATATTTTTTTATTTTTTTCAAACATAAACATAAAATATAACTTTCAAGAACAGAGTCTCGATCTGGTCATAGATAGTTACCACGCTTACATTCCTTTAACAAGCTCCATTCACAATTTCCCATTACATCTTTTAAAAGTAAAAATTCAAAACATAAAAAAAACAAATTTTAACATAGATTCTAACATCTTCATCTAAACAAGTCCATTATATCAATACAATTTTGATTTCAAATTAAATTTAGCTCATTTTTATATCTATATATCAATCCTGATTATATCTGGTTCTTCTCCACATTGTCTTTGTTATATCTTTTACCATCAATGTCAAAATGATTTTTAACAATATTCTAACCTCCTATTCTAATTATTTACCTTACAATTTTATCACCACAAATCTTAATTTCAAATTCAATACAACTCCATTTTTATTACACTTTATAAAGCAAAGTTCTATCTATATTTCTTAGTCTCTTGACCCTTTCCCTCAAATCTTAATATCTTAAACTTTATCATGATTGTACTTTTATTGATTGCTTATCAAAGTTCTCTTTCTGAATTTATTTTTTTCCACCTGGACTAAGGTTTTTTTTGTATTGAAATTTTTATGTGAAGTGCAATACATAACAAATTAAATATTATTATTATGTATTCTCTGCCTTACCTGAAGCATTGTGACAGGTATTTTTTTACCCTGCTTAGTCCATAATGGCATCATTCCCAACTTTACTGCAATAATACCAACTCTTTTAGAACCTGTGAATAAAAGAATGAAACAATCCTTTCTTAAATTTCAAGCCTAATGGAGTTCAGAAAGTCATGACAGATTAATTCTTAAATTAATTCACAGCATGTACAGATCCTACAAACAGCATCTTGCAACACAATCAACATTCAAGTGGCAGCTACTACTATTTGATAGATAACATTTAGATTAAATTACACTGGACATGTTATGAAAACAAGTAATGTCAGCTATTTTAATGTCTAATGTTTTTAAACATATAGGGGCAACAAGTACCATGCGATGTTGCTGTGTTATAACTGCACTGCCATCCTTTACTATACATTTAACAAAACTATATCCCTCCCATTGTAGTGTGAACTACAGGCCAATGATGGCTAACCTTTTTGCCATTGCATTCCAGGAGGCGGGGTATGGGGGGGCTCGTGCACGGGCATGCCCACACCCATAATTCTATGCACCCTGCCCCCATGCACGCGTGCGTGACACACACACACACACCTCCACTCCTGGCATGTGATGGCCCGGGAGGCCTGTTTTTCTCTCTCACCTAGCTCCAGAGCCTCTCTATTGAGTCTGGGGAGGGTGAAAACGGCCTTCCCCACTCCCCCCCGAGGCCAGAAACGGCCCATTTCCCAACTTCCGGTTGGACAGGAAATGACTTTTTTGCTGTCCCCAGCCTCCAGAGACTAGGGGCTGGGGACAGCAAAAAAGTCACTTCCTGTCCAACCGTAAGTTGGGAAACGGGCCATTTCTGGCCTCCAGGGGGCCTCTGGGGAGGGCCCTCCTCAGACTCCTAGAGAGGCTCTGGAGCCAGGTGAGAGAGAAAAACGGGGGCCTTTCCCCCCCCCAGGCCCTCTGGAGACAGGAAACAGCCTGTTTCCCTACTTCTGGTGGGCCCAGAAGGCCCAAAAATCAGCTGCGTGCGCCAGAGCTGAGCTCGCGTGCCCACTGATATGCCACAGGTTCACCATCACGGGTCTAGGCAGTGTATTAATCCTATGGATATAACTGGCATTTGCACCTCACTATGGAATAAGGGCCAGGTTACTTGAGGGACTACTATACTTGTCCAGTTTATTTCGTCCTGCAGGGTTAGCACAAACCAGGTTTCTTAAAATTAAGCAATATCATCTGTCAGGATCTTGGAAGTGCCTCTTCTTGGTCGCAGTATCTGCCATCTGCAATGAGAGCCAGATGGCCCCCACACTGCTATTGTTTAAAAGAGGCATAAAGGTATGGCTCTTTACCCAATCTTTGGTGAGGGAAAGTGATACTTCTGGCTTCCTTCCATCTAGTCTGTTGCAGTTCACTATCTTTTGTCTTTAATGTTTTATTGATTTTATTGTAATTTCTTTCTGTACTGTAATGACTTTGAGAATCAGGCAGCAAATGAGTTTATTATAATGGAGATATGCATAAGAATTCCCCAGAGTTGGACTTGTTGAAATAACTGTTATTTGACTTGCCAATAATTGGCATAGACTTTCACAGATTACTGTAAAATATATAAACTTACTAAAGTGAAAGTAAAAGAATCATAAGATGCAATTTTAGTAGACCTAATTCATTGATTTGAAATATGTTTTTTTTATTATTATTATTCATATTTCTATGCCGCCCACTCTCCGAGGACTCTGGGCTTACACCAAAGATAGTATACTAAATAGCATATTGCCCCCAACAATCTGGGTCCTCATTTTACCCACGTCGGAAGGATGGAAGGCTGAGTCAACCTTGAGCCGGTGAGATTTGATCCACTGATCTGCTGAACTAGCAGTCAACTGAAGTAGCTGCAGTACTGCACTCTAACCACTGCACCACCTCGGCTCCTTTTTAATTAAGGAATTATATATATATCCAATCTAGGGGTAAAATGTAGAATTTGTTACTACCGGTTCAGTGGGCATGGCTTGGGGGGGGGGTGACTGGGTGGGCATGGCCAACTTTTTTAAAAAAAAAACTTTTCAAAGCATTTTTTCTAATGCTTTGAAAAGCCTCTCTGACGATCAGGCAACTCAGCTGGGATCGTCAGAGACTTTTCAAAGCATTTTTTTTACCATCTCTTCAGCCAAGAGGTTGCAGAAAAAAATGCTTTGAAAAGCCTCTGACAATCCCAGCTGAGTCGCACGATCATCAGAGGCTTTTTTTTTTTTAACTTTTAAAAGCATTTTTTCGTCGGAAGAGTTGTAGAAAAAATGCTTTGAAAAGTTTTTTAAAAAAAGCCTCTGATGATCGTGCGGCTCAGCTGGGCATGGGGGAGGGGGGGCACAGGGATTTTTGCTACCGGTTCTCTGAACCACCTGCCACCATTGCTATCGGATCGGGCAATCCGGTCCAAACCGGGAGCATTTCACCCCTGATCCAATCAGATATATCCAGAATAACCCTTTACTTTATCCTTGAATTTATTGTATACCAACCTGGCTCCCATGAGTGCAGAGGCCAAGGCTCATCTTTCAGAGGACAAAGTTTACTAGCAGTTTGAGCTTTATATTCTTCTGTTGAAAGTTTCTTAAGGAACTCAACATTTTCTTCTGAAAGATGCTCATCCCACCATGTGCTATTGTAAATAATATGCCGAGCTGTGACCAACCACAGATCCCTACCAAAGAGAAGAAAAATAAATTCAGAAAAATGCATGTTTGCATTTTCAAACTTCCAGTGCAATAACCTTGACTTGTTACTTTTATGCCCAACCTACCAATAATAAAGAAAGGGTCAGGAAATAATGATCATAATACAGGACTAGGAAATTTCTGCAATTTGTATCCTAAAAGGAAAAAATATAACTATGGAGGGTTAGGTTCTTAGAGCAATTAATATCAGCTGATGTTGAAATGCACAAAATTTTTAGAACAAAGGCAGCACCTAGATTTTGACTGAAATACTAGAGTAGTGAGGGTTTTTTTCAGAAGCATCTTGCCATTGGCTCTTTCCTAGAAGAAAAAGTGACTAGCTCCATTGTCTTCACACCCGAGGCAGGACTAAAACATAAAGTCTCCTGGTTTCTAGCCACTACACCAAACCAGCATATCTTGGAGGTTATAGAGCAATTTGTAATTACTCGTTTGTGACTTGAGGATCCAATCTGAGACTAATGATGGTGTAAAACAATTTTTTTTTGAAGGTGGTTAATATCATTATTCCAGACTGGGAAAAAGAGTAATCGGATTCAACAGTTTAAGAGCTATTGTGCTAGGAGCTGCATTTCAAAAAGGAAGCAGGATTAGAAAAAATAAATAGACAGAGATCAAATGTAGGTCTGATTCTATGTAAATTAATTTTAATTGTAATAAAATAAAATTCTTTTTCTCTTTCTTTCTCTCTCTCTCTCTCTCTCTGAAAAATAGAGAAGTTGAAGCATTAAGAAAGATTCAGCCATGCTGGTATAAACTTAAATCTTTCAAATATATATGTTAACATACCGAAGATCAAGTGTATGGTACAATTATACTGACAAACCTGTTCCCTTTGGATGAATAAGGAGACGCTAGAAGTTTATATGGGGTAAAGATTTAGGCTGCATTATTTACAAACTGTATAACTTTCCCCACTTATCTGCATTAAGAATATGCCTTTTTTATTAAATCATCCCATGCTGCCAACTCCTACAAATTTCCAACGAGCAACAGGGATAAATATGCAAACCTGGTTAAGGGTGCTAATTTTCTGGAAATTGGGCTCAGTTGCCTGCTACCTATATTATGTGCATTCTTACCAGGCACTCTTCCAAATTCTTTTACTCTTTATCCCAGCGAAAATGGGGATCACGTAAAGGAGAGAAAAGAGGAAAACTAGTTTGATAGCATTATAGGCAACACTACTTGGGGAATACTATTGACCTTGAAGATCCGATGACTAAACTCAACACTGTTCAATGCCTTTCTTGTAATTCTTTGTCTCCGCATTAAAACTGTCCCCCAGCTTGACTCACGTGCAGTTCCTGGAGGTAGAAAAGCTTTAACCCAAACAATCATGCATAGATACGAGTGATTCGTGTTGGATTTTTACTTTTCTTATCGTTAAGCGAAAGGCAGATCGGGGGGGGGAGCTATTTGTACACAAAGGACACCTAAAAAGAATTATACGTGTAGCAAAACAAGTGTCCCTCGGCTCCATCCCGCCACAGACTTACTGTCGTCTAAATCCAACTTCCGCAGCCTCCGCTGCCCCGAGAACTGAATTAAGGATGCCTCCAGGTAACAACCGTCGCAATCCTACACGACACAGCACGCCAACTCCCGACATGATTCTACATCAAATAACCGGTCGAAACAGCGTTCAACCGAAAAAATCTTCCTCCCGCGGTCCCCATTCTTAAGTTCCGGAAATATTTCATTCCTACTTACTCCACTTTCAGAGGAAAAGGTGGAGCTTATACTTAGTTCATAGAATATTCGAGGCCAGAGAGCCCTCTGTAACTTTGGGGGGGGGGAGTATAGTTTGCGTCACATTAGTGGCCTCTGCTGAATGAAAGTCGTCACTGCAAGAAAGGTGGTATTAGTGCATTCAGCTCTTGTTTTGAAAAGGGATTTATAGGAAAGCTAGGAGACATTGAAGCGTTTCAACATTTTGGGATTTGGTGAAAACTCCCCCCAAAAAAAGTACAAAAGAGAACGCACTTCTCTCCTGATACAGGGGGTCTCTACTCTTATATCACTTTTTAAATCCATCTTAAACGTTTTGCTCTTAGAACTCCTTCTCATTTTTAAACATTATGGAGGACTCAACAAAAATTATTTGTATTGGTTGTATTTATTGTATTTAAAATTAAAAATGACACATTTGTAAAATATTTTTGAATCATATAAAATGACAATATTAAACCCATATTAACATAAAACATTTTTTCATAAAAACTTTTAACAAAAAATAAGAATTATATTGTTTTAAAATTTTACAAATATCTTTAATATCTGGCAATTTTGATTTTGCCAGACTGTAGAGAGAATCTTGAGGACCACTTTAGAATGATCTAAATAGGATATGGATCTATCTGCTGCAAATCTTGTTAAATCAGTATTGTACAATAATGCTAGACTGTTCAACAGCTCCTATTGTTAAAACTTTAATTGTAGAGTTTGTATCATTTTAGTTAAACGGGAGGAAAATGCCTCCCGATGAGGATTCTTCCAGCCGGGAAACAATGAACGATGCTTTGAAGAATAAATGGAATAGCGATTCCATTTTAATGGAAGAAACCAAGACGAGTGACATTCATCAAGGTTTCTTGGCTAGCTAGCCTGATTGACATCCAAACATGAGTTTATATATTCTTTCTGAGCCTTTCAGCTTAACGCATGTTTTTGATAATTAAATCCTGTATTTGGTAACGTTTTAATCCTACATCTATTGATGGGATAATTTTTCTTAGTTTGGTTTTGTTTGGAAGGGAAAAGGCTTATCTCTGTTGAAAATAAATGAAGTTGGGAAATCTGACTAGTTCCTGTGCCTTGTTTAATTTGGTAATTGGTTTAACAAGATGGTAATTGGTTGCACAAGATATCGCTAGGTGTCAGCCACTGTATTAGGCGTCTGGCTACATTTTTGCTACATTCTGGTGGTTTTGTTAGTCTTAAGTGTTTCCCTTATTAGCCCTCCTGGGGCTGTCAGTTCTAGAAATGAGTCAGACAAGGCTAGTATTTTAATCTGAAAGGATTTAAACTGTTGTGATTTAATCATTTGTATTTGATTTATTTGTATTATGTTTGAATTATTTGCTGCCTCATGGTTTCTTCTTCTATCTGGGGAGGGGACCTTCCTTCACCTGAAACAGTAAGATAGTGAAACAGCAGCATTGACTCCCTTCCTATTGGCTTCCTAACACAGAAAAGAGAAATCTGGAAATCCACATTTGTAGGCTATAGAAAATAAGTAAGAGGACACAGCAAAGAACCTGAAGGTGAGAAGTAGATACTTGTAGCCAAACTCCCCAAACATACTATAGTGCTATGACTGGCCAATGTTTTTCCTGTTGGCTAATGATTTGCAGGAGAGGGAGTATATCAAAGTCAAAGAAATCATGCACAAATCAATCCAGGATTGTTCAGCAACCAAGCAACAGAGGCAGTATAGGGATCTGCAGTGAGAGCAGCTAACTGCAATGCTGATTTGCTTTTCTGTTGACTCAGGGGTGGGCAAATCACTCTTAAACTCAGCAGTGGGGAAAATAAATTCATACACAAGCAACAAACAGAAGCACCTTGGATTTTATTATAAATATTGAAATGTTGGTTCTGATGATAAGCTTTTAATGGGTTCGTTAAAAACAGATCATGCCAAAACCAATCTTATTTCATTCTTCAACACAGTGACCAAATTAGTAGACCAGCAAAATACTGTGGACATAATATACTTAGACTTCAGCAAACATTCGACAAAGTAGACCACAACCTACTTCTTGGTAAACTAGAAAAAAGTGGGATAGATAGTATCATGATCAGATGGATTTGTAACTGGCTAACAAACCATACTCAATGAGTAGTCCTTAATGGTACTACATCTACATGGAGGAAAGTAAGCAGTGGGATACCACAAGGTTCCATCTTAGGCCCAATACTCTTCAATATCTTCATAAACGACTTAAATAAGGGAATAGAAGGGGAACTTACCAAATTTGCAGATGATACCAAGCTGGCAGGAATAACTAATACCCTAGATGATAGGCTCAAGATCCAGATGGATCTTGACAGACTTGAACACTAGGCCCTATCTAACAAAATGAAATTCAATGTAGAGATAAGTAAAATCTTACACTTAGGCAAGAAAAACCAAAAGTACACATATAGACTGAGTGAAACCAGGCTTAATAGCAGTAACTGTGAGATGGATCTTGGAGTCTTAGTGGACAATCAATTAAATATGACCTAATAGTGTGCAGCAGCAGCCAAAAAAGCCACTGCAATACTAAGTTGCATTAACAGAGGGATACACTCAAGAGCAAGTGAGGTACTAATACCATTCTACAAAGCCTTAGTAAGACCAAATCTAGAATATTACATCCAGTGTTGGTTATCAAATTATTTAAAAAAATTGTTGAGAATCTAGAAAAAATGTGGAGAAGAGCAAGCAAGATGATTAGGAGTCTGGAGACCGGAGGCTAAAACATACGATGAATGGTTGCAAGCATCTTCTAGTGAAGAGAAGGACCAGGGGAGACTGATAGCAATGTTCCAATATTTGAGGGGCTGCCATAGAGAGGAGGGGGTCAAGCTATTTTCCAAAGTACCCAAAGGCCAGACAAGGAATAATGGATGGAAACAGATTAAGGAGAGATTCAACCTAGAAATAAGGATAAATTTTTGGACAGTGAGAACAATCAACCAGTGGAACAGCTTGCCTTCAAAAGTTGTGGGAGCTTCATCACTGGAAGGTTTCAAGAAGAGATTGGACAGCCATTTGTCAGAAATGGTGTAGGGTGCCCGGTTTGGGTGGGGGGTTGGACTAGATGACCTACAAGTCATCTCTGCCCCATTTTTGGCCTGAATGGCTTCCTGCAGCATTTTACCGGCCAAAACGGGGCATGCGAGGCCACACACTGCCCCCTTGCACCTCATTTTCGCTCTTCATGGCCTCCTGCAACACTCTGCCAGCTCAGTCCTTTGTTATTCACAGGCTGGCCCTGTGGGCCAGATTTAAGCACCCTGCAGGCTGAATTAGGCCTATGGGCCTTCAGTTTGATACCCCTGTTCTAGGGTGTTAGTTATTCCTGCTAGCTTTGTATCATCTGCAAATTTGGTAAATTCCCCTTCTATTCCGTCATCTAAGTTATTTATGAAGGTATTGAAGAGTACTGGCCCTACGATGGAACCTTGTTTTACCCCACTGCTTATTTCCCTCCATGTAAACATAGACCCATTAAGGAATACTTATTACGGTTTGTCAGCCAATTACAAATCCATCTGGGGTGATGCTATCTATCCCACTTTTTTCTAGCTTACCAAGAAATAAGTTGTGGTCTATTTTGTCGAATGCCTTGCTGAAGTCTAAGTATACTATGTCCATAGTATTTCGCTGGTCTACTAATTTAGTCACTATGTTGAAGAATGAAATAAGATTGGTTTGGCATGATCTATGTTTAACAAACCCATACTGATTGCTAAGTATTACTTTACTCATTTCTACATAGATGTTGGCAGATCTGTTTTTTTTAAATTATCTTTTCCAGTATCTTTTCAGGTGTTGTTAGGCTTATTGGTCTGTAGTTTCCTGGCTCTGTTTTGTCCCCTTTTTTGAAGATGGGAACCACATCAGCTCTTTTCCAGTCCTCTGGTAGTTCCCCAGTGGTCCAGGATTTTTGAAAGATGTGGTACAGTGGTTCTGAGATGACACCTGCCAGCTCCTTTAGAACTCTGGGATGTAATCCATCAGGTCCTGGTGATTTAAATTTATCAAGATCAGACAGGTGTTCTCTTACTATTTTTTTTTCTTATTTTAACTTTTATTTCTAGTCTGTCTTTTACAGTTATGTTTTTGGTAAGGTTAGGGTTTCTTTTTGCATGAAGACCAATGCAAAGAATGATTTAAGTAGCTCTGCTTTCTCTCTGCTGACTGTTACTTCCTTGCCATCTTCTCTCTTTAGTGTACCAATTGTTTCCTTTATTTTTTCTTGTTATTTATATGTTGGAAGAAACCTTTTCTATTATCTTTGACTTTTGTTGCAAGTCTTCGTTCATTCTGAGCCTTTGCTTTCCTCTATTTGCAGATTCTGGCTATCTGCTGATATTCTGCCTTAATTGTGGGTTCCTTTTTCAATTTTTTGTATTTGTTCTTTTTGTCTTCCAATTTGTCAGAGAGATCTTTGTGCAGCCATGCTGGATTCTTCTTGGATTTCTTGTTTTTCTTTCTCAGTGGTATTGTGATGGTCTTGGCTTTTATGATCATATTTTTCAGAGTTTACCAAACTTCTTGAGTTGTTTTCCCCTTTAGGATTTTCATCCAAGAAATCTTTCCCAAGTTCTCTCTAAGTTTATTAAAATCAGCTTTTTTAATATCTAAGATTCAGGTATCATTATGTTCTATTGCTTGTGTTCACGTTATGTTGAATTCTAGTGTGACATGGTCACTCTCACCCAAGGTTCCTGCAGTTTCAACTCCTTTTATCACTTCTTCTCTATTTGTAAGAATTAAATCCAGTACGGCTGTCTATCTAGACCTGCAGTCCCACAAATGGGACTGAGCTACAAATGTGTAGGAAGTTCTGGAGATGACCTTGGAAAAGCCATTTAGAAACTGTTAAGGAAACATCTGATACTGAAACACAGGCAAGATACAGAACCTCCAGACTGAAAAATATTGTTTCAAGCATTATTTCTTTTAAAAAACTGGCA